GGAGTTCAGACGTGTGCTCTTCCGATCCCCCCAAAACCCCAAAACCCCAAGCTTTCGATTGAGCAGAAATGTACAAAAGTTTATGTTCTATTGAATAATTTAGCCTAATTAACTTAATAGTATTTATTCAATTATATTGTGCAAGTATTTAGAAATAAAATTAGCTTTAGATTATTCATATTCCCATAGACCTCAGTATCTAATTTCCCTAATAGCTCATATTGTTGGTTTTTTGTATGGATCATAATTTTCTGGCTTATAGAAAACTTGATTGAGAGAATCTCCAAAGTAGTAGCCAAGATTTTTCCAATAGTTCTCAGTAGTAGGGTCTCCTTTCCTAAAGATGTCAACAATATCTACAGTGTTATCATAGATTTTTCCAAGATTATGCACTACATTGTAGAAGGTTTTATCAATATTGATTACGGTGGAGAAATAGTCTCCAACTATTTGATAGTATTCGAAAAGACTGTAGTAACATCCATATGTCAAAGGACCTGTAGTTTGTATCAACTCCTTAAGAGTCTTCCCCATTTGATCATAATATTAGAACTACACTTAAGTTCTTATCTGCTAAATTGACCTCTGAAGAACAGTGATATTTCCATTACAAATGGATGAATTAGGAGATGAGGTTCCAACTGATTGATTTAAAAATTGAAAGCCAAATGCTGATGCTTTTGCATATATTGTAGAAATTGATTCTGCTTCCACCATATACTTAGGGGTGAATACGTCATGCCCTGATAGTATGCTCTCTTTTAATCTTAGTGGTGAATCTTCAATAGGATCAAAGATTAGAATCAGATTCAGTAATCTTCCAATTTAAAAGTAAACTTGCATAGTGTTGTTTGATTTTTAAGCTGCAGTGATAGAATTATACAAATTATTGAAAGTAATTGCATTACCCAGTAGGTTCTAAAGGAAAGCCTCCATTATAGAAACAAAGCCATTGTTGAATTGTGAGAATTTGTTTAGGAAATAGCTATAAACGTTATAGCCAGTAGTGTAACACTCACCAACTGCGTCAGCTGTAGTAGTACTCAACACGGTTGTATAACTAAATATCAACTAATCAACAGCTTTCACATTATTCTTTTTATTGGCAATTGTGGTTTAGTTGTACTAATTAGCGGTTAGTCTCATTTTCGAAGAGCATGTATAAAAGTTACTTGAAAAAGTAGTAGCTTTGAAACCTTGCAAAAACTGGTCGAAAAGGTTGAAATTATAGTCTATAATTGTAGTAGGATTTGTAGTTTGCCCTAATAAAATAGAATCAAAGCGATTTTAGTCATGATTATTCACACTATTGTCGCCTAGGAAGCCTTTCATAAATGCTTTGATAAAGTCCTTGGTATTTTAAGCAACTTCTTATCCGTTAGATTCTTGATTCTAAGCTTGAATGATCTGAGAAAGAGCCAGGAGAAGCATTAGAGTTGTAAGTCTAGAGGGGGAAGAGTACTTTTATTGGTTCAAAAAGCCTGTAAATTTATGCTACTCTTTCATCTTTGTATATTTTAAAACAATTTTTACTTATTTCCATCTGATGATTTATCTATAAACATAGCTAACGGGGTTTTGGGGTTTTGGGGTTTTGGGG